AACACACCCTGCTAATTGTTGCAGAAAATAAGAGATTTTGAGGATAAAAGAGATCATTATTTCATGGTGACTCTTTCTTCCCCTCCCTCTACTCCAAAAGTTGTTTGTGGTGCAGTGAGCGTAGCAGATGCTGCCTTACACTTGTTCAGGAATCATGTTTCAGTTTGTCCACTCTGCAATGTTCACCTTAGTGTTTGGTTTCCAATTTCCTCTGCTGTAATTGGAAAAATGACACCTTCAGGAGATGGAGTGTTGTGTATCTGACTTCTCCTAACACCAGAGAAAAGTTTTCCTTGGTGCCAGGAGATTAGTAGATGTCTTCTATTGCAGTTTTCTTACTATGTTTGTGTACTTCGTCCTACCTTCAGATATGGTTATGTGGCATCAAAGCTTTTTGGAAATGTAGATTCTCCTCACGTTCAGTTCCAGACAGGTTTCTTGTGCAAGATTAAGTCTGAATGATCTTTCAAAAAATGCTGCAGCACCTTTGCACTGTAAAAATATATCCTACAAATGGTAATTTCTTACTGATGCTATTGGTTCTAATAGATGTAGTTTTGCAGGGTGGTATCTCTTAGATGATTTCTTCTCTCCTGCTATAAAGCTGGCCTCTGTTTACATAATAGCAAAAACCAATGCTTTCTTGAAAGTGTACTGATCTATAACTGCTGTGATTCAGTGCACAGGTTGCATATCAGACTGAGGTCTGGCTTGTGCCACTAGGTCAGACCCTTTTGGAAATCCACTAACTTATACCCCTAATTTATATTTCATCCAGTGTTAAGTTAGTATTAATAAGCCAGTCAGATGAGTAAGTTTTCTTCTATTCATGCTTTCTATATTGACTTTTAAATGTCAATGACCTTTTTTTTCTTTGAATTTGCTTAAAGGCACAGAACAGTCTATTTCATTTTTACTTCTTAAAAATCTACTTTTCTATTCTTTTATGTGATTATCTCAGTATGAGAAGTTTCCAATCCTGCAGGTTTAAAGTTGAATTTTAAAGTAAAGGAATATAAAGAAATCTCAATCTTTTTACCGGATCTAAAACTACTGTAAGGATATCCATTTATAATAAATTCTGTAATAATCACATGTGTAGATTAGGTTCAACATACTGGTTTTATAAATTGCCAGGATACCTTGAAAAGGAATTCATCAAACAGACTTTGAAGCTAAAGAGACACAAGACTCCTATGCCAAATCCAGTATTAAGAGACATGCTTCATTTCCACAGAACACCTTAATCCAAGTTATTAATTTCTTTGAGGACTCACCCTGTGGAGTTCTGCATGATAAGTGTAATACATATATACACATTTTAAAGGAGATTTAATTCCATTTTAAGGCAATATTTTGTAACCATGTCTATCCCTTCAATGAAGCAATTGATCATTTTTTTTCAGACTGCTAAATCCTTAGAGGAAAATTAATTGTCCAAGTAAGAATTATGTTTTGCCACTTACTAATTTTCCCAGGTTCAGGATCAAGAATCTAGTCAGTACTTGTATGTAGAAATTTGCATCGTATATGAAAAATCAGATGTGTGGAGAGTTTTATTTTCATTTTTCAAATCATGCCTATCTAATTAGACACCCTCTTGAAAGGTTTTGGAGTTCATACACTATTTCTACTAACACGGTGCCTGCTTCCATGTCCACGTGGTCTCCACAGTGAAAGCTGGTAGCAGAGAGGATGTGGTTTTGTCTGGGCAGGGAGGAGACAGAAAGCCCTCTTGTCTCTGTCTACCACAAAGCAGTTTTTAGGAGGGAAGTGGCTTTGGAATCCAAAAGACAGGACAGGGCTCGTGTGTCCCCATGATCGAAGGATGCTTCTTGGTGAGAGTGTGTGGGGGGGCGGGAGCCAGCATGGATACTTCACCTGCCCCTCCGCGGCCCTGGGAAAAGGATATTCTTCCTTTCAGCTGCAAAACCCTTTGTGGATACGTGATTTGTGAGCTATGGACATTCTGAACACTGGGGCCTCACATACTTGCAATTAAAAAGTATAGCCCTCTAAACATTAGCTACTAATCCAGAGGTAGCTAGATGACTTGAGGGATTAGAAAAGAGACTTAAGAGTGACTTGCGTAGCCACAGTGCTGTTTTGGAGCTTAGTTGAATTCCACAGAAATTAGTGAAATCTTTGAGTTCATAAGTTGAGTTCAGTTCTCCTGTTTTGGTGGGGAAAGCATGAAAAATCCAATATCAGCCTTTTCCTAGATTTCTGAGATATAAATACTAAGAATACTTTGCACAAAAATAAGTACAAGTCAACATCGAATTACGACCTTCAGAAAGCTGTAGAAGAAAGTTTCATGGAATTGCCTCAAAATACTTCAGTGATGTTGTTCATCCAGTTTATAAAAGTACTGGTCATATGATTCAGTTTTAGGCTTTAAATATCTACAGAAAGCCGGAAAGTATTCTGATCTGGGATTTTAGATGGCATTATCTCTATGGGGGGAGGGAGGGAGGGGTGTACTAACGAGTTTGAGTCAGGAGGAAAATAGGTTATGAACATCATAGGGTTCTTGTGCATTTCTCCTATTCACCTGACTGTCAGTTTGTTAAATGTTAATCATCTTCTGCAGGATAAAAATCAACATGTTTTCTACTCCAATATTTGACCTTTTAAACATTCGGTGTTTTTGATTCAGGATATACTCATTATTCCTTGTCTTCCCAAGTTAGATTGAAAATGCAGAAAACTAATTAGAGAATAGATCAATAATGTCAGAATTTCACTCAACTAGCATACATTATAAAATACTGACTTATCTAAATCACTGTAGTTGATGGTTTTCTGGGAGACACAGAAAGTGAGAAGAAAGGATTGCTAGTGAAAATGACTAAGAAAAAGAGAGACACAAAATCCAGATTAATTTTTTTTTCCTTGTAATTTTACATTACAATATTTGTGGATGCTAAGACCTGGGCTTCAGAATGAGATGGTAAGTAATAGAGAAATGAAGTATGAGAAGAGTGAAATGTTTTCTGGTTCCCGAAGACGTTACATCTTGTAAGACAAGGCCCCTCGGGAATGGCTTTTCCTATGATTTCTAAGATATCAGGGATTCCAACCCAAGAAAATGGTGGATTATTTTAAAAATAAAAGGTAATTTATGTTTGCTATTGGATTACCATGCTACGAATCAGCATTCATACCTGGGTCATGCTATAAGTTTCACTGAGCTGTTGGACCAGTTGTTCAGTTTGCTGTGCTATTCCATTTCTCATCTGTAAAGTAAGAATGAGAATGCATCCCTTCTCCTGCTCTCTTTTTTGTATCTATTAGTACCTGTCCAAAGGATGACGTAATCTGTGCCTTGCTGTGTAGCTGTTTGCTGACTAATCCAGTAGGAAACCAATCTGAAACTCCTGGATGCCACTGTATATAAATAATAATATTGTCCTCTCTTGTGATGCTCAGCTCAGAGGATTGTCACTAGCAATTACATTCGGCATTATATGTGAGGATGCCAAGACCCCCAGGGTATGCAGGGTTATCTAATTATTCTACTGTAAATAAAACCCAAGCACTGATTACTGGTATTTACATACTAATAATCAGCATTTCTGGTTGGAATGAACAGAAGTCTGTTTATCCATGGATAATTTTACTGGTCATGCATATAGTTTACAAATGACAATCTTCTGGCTGTAAGTACAAGTAAGAACCTGCTGAAATCCGTCCAACGTTATTTTCAGACTGACAGTGCCATTTCTTGCTTCTAGGCATACCCAGGTAACTCCAGTGGAGTAATGTGGTTACAACGAGAGGCAGGATGTGGCTACCAAAAATCTGTCTTCCATTTGTTAGTGTGTTAAGAGTAAAACAAAACCCATGGTAGTAAAAAGATGACCTGTTAGGATCATTTTTTAAATCAAAATGGCTCAGCATTTATGCAGCGCTTCCTTTCTTCTCTCAGCTTCATGAAATTAGACGTTAAAACTTGGAGAAGGTACAGCCTTCTGGGGCCTGAGGCTGGACAGTCGAAGCACAGATGTTTGAATGCACAAGTCCTACCTAAACACTGACATAGCATCTGATCGACTACACTGGATTTCTGCCCCAATGCAGGAGGGATGTGCTAGGAGAATGATTTTCCTGTACATGCTCTAGGCTATTTTATCCCCTTTGCTGTTGGTCAGTTTTGAGGGTGAGGCACTGGCCTAAGCAGACCTGTTAGTGTGACTCAAGACTATTCCTGCATTTTGAATAATGAGTTATAATTATTGTTATTAATAAGAGGTAAACTAGATTTGCTTTACTATGCAGTATTTGTTATACCAACTTGCTGTCTCCCACTGAAAACATAAGAAAATGTGATTGCTTAGGAATGGTAGACTACATGTTGTCCTAGGACTGACTACGCTAGACCTTCTGTATTAGGACTGCAAAAACCTGAAGCGTAAAAGCTGTATGTGAGTAGCAGAGGAGCCAAGTACTTTTACACTATCCACCAGAAATTCTGTTCTGGCATCAGGTGCTGCAAGGCCTTCCCCATGAGCAGAGAGGGTCTGAGTCACGTGCAGAAGCAGTCAACGCTGGTCTGAGGTATGAAGTGCAAAGAGGACTGCTGACATTACTCAAGGGGCTCTGGAGGAAATGCACATAGGATGCGAGTAGCAAATGAGAAATATTTCTGTGGCACCTTTTGAGTAATCATTTTTAGTTGTCCTTGTAAATTAATGCTGTTTCCCTTAAATTACATTGCCTTTGTTAAAAGATCAAGAACAACTGTTTTCCAGTGCAATTTTTGATAAATTAAATTAAACAACTTTTATCCCTGCAGTTGCTTTGTGTTCAGAATATCCTTTTGATTTAAGTGTATCTTTTCCTGTGGCTAAACGGCGTTGCACTGGCAAGACATTAATTTTGGGAAGTCTTTGCACATGTTTGGTCTTGGATTTTGCTGTGTCATGACTGAATTGGCAGCTGCAAAGTCTTTCAACCAATTTCCATGTCAGTGAACTAACATAATAATGTGTTTGCAGGGGCAAGCTGTTGCTCAGCTCTGTTCAACTATTCCCAATGTTACTGTTTTTGGAACAGCTTCATCTTTCAAACATGAAGCAATCAAAGACTCAGTAACTCACCTGTTTGACAGAAATGCAGACTATGTTCAAGAAGTAAAAAGGTAATCTTTTATTCTCCTGAGTAAAGATTGTATAGTATCTGGTAAAAAACATTACATTTGTGAGTTTGGGAACTGCAGCTTATTCCAGATATTCCATCTGTCCACTACAAGGGACAAGATTGCGAGCATCTCCCTATTTCTTTATAAGCAACATAAGCTTTGTTAGTCCGTGTTCATACTTGGACATCTGTTGCGAGCAAAGTAAATTAAGTGAAAAAGAATAAAGGTCTTAATAGAAGGATGTACTTTGCTATTACCTGCATATGTAGTAGTTCACTGTAGTGCATTGAGTAAGATATTTTTCAGTGGATCTCTAAGTTATCCAGGTTTTGGAGTTCTCTGGTGTGTTTCTATCTGCCTAGGTTTTTATCCTCTGCCAGGGATTGATGTCAGAGCACTTGATGTCTGTTTTAATTTCAGATCCTTAGATTTTGTTTGTTTGCATTCAGATATCCTGTTGCCTTTTGAAGTCATCATGTGTGTTTCCATTTACATGCTTTCAAGTACTTTGTTTTCCAATTTGTCTGTTTTTAGATATTGATGTTGATACAGGTGGCAAAACTTCAGAATTGATAGGAAAATCTTAGTTAAAAATGTCTTTTTGATTTTACTTGTCAGACAGATAAGAATGTTTTCCCTTTATCTTGTATCTGTCAGAATACTAGATCATGCAACTGGGCATAAACCAAGAAATTTCTCAAAGGGGCACCCCAAGATAGTACAGTTGACAGGCTTCCTGTCAAACTTACGCATTCCTCAGAGTGAGGCGCAAAGTCTCAGAAGGTCTCTTTGTACGAGGGTTGCTAGCCCTCAAAGAGGGCCTTCAGTATAGGGCAGACTGTTCTCTGGGCTGTTAGCAATTCAGACGGGTGTTGGAAGAGAAAGCAGGGTGCCTTGCTACTGTTTCTTGAGCACTCCCAAGGGCTTAAGAGAACATTTGAAATGATCCATCACAAAGGATGTTTTATATCAAAGGAAAATTTTTCCATATGGGCAGTTTCACCAAAAAACATAGTTGTCCAGCAAATGACACCCCTACCATCTTCTTACAGCTCAGAATCACAGCACATTTCTTCAGCCCTTTGATAGCCTTTCTCTTGGGGTAGTATGCACACCTAAGTGTTTTGCTGCCCCTGGAAAATTGCTGTAGTGAGTTGAAGACTGAATTATAGCAATCCCCACTTTACAAATACTGATTCAGCAAGGAAAGAACACTTGAAAACAGTAATCGGACTTCAGCACCAACCTTAATACTGACTCTTGGCAGGGACAGAAGAAGATCTGATCTAAGTGGGTATGTGATGTGGGAGCAGATACAACAGAAATTGGTGCTTAAAAAAGCAATAAAGCCCCTTTAACTTCTGGTAACTTTATGGTTGCAGATAATGTTGGCTGCTTCTGCCCTTCATTAGGACAGTTCTTTGTGGGACAGTTCCCTGATACCACCCCTGACTGCGTAACAGACTGTAACTGCTGAAATCAACAGGAGACCTCATTATGAAGGGGTGGAATTCTGCTCTGTTAAGTCTGTTAAAATCCCTTGTGGTGATCCTGCATTTTCACACACTTTTTCACCTTGCAATAGACCAATGAGGCAGAGAACCAGTGGGTGCAAAAGATAAAATGTAGATGCAACAAACTAGTTTGTGCTTCTTCCCTGGTATAGGGATGCATAGTATTAGAACAATTAATAGTCCTGATTAAAAGTCAGGATTGGAACCCTGTAGAAAATGCCAATACTCTGATTTGTTGCTCAGATCCATGTATTTTCACTTTGCATTGAAAAAGTAATAAAAAATAAAAGTACAGTGGTAATTCTGAGACTGCTATAAAGACAGATTGTCTTTTGAAAGAGGCAGTCAGGGCAACAGTGTAGTTTGGTTTACTGGATATTAGCTGTATACTATATCCTGCTTAAAATGTTGGGCTGGCCAGCAGGGAAGACAGCTAGTCTGCATTTCCCTGCTGCACACTGGCTCAGGGGGAGTCCTAAGGGAAGGGGAAGGCTCACTATTTCTTGAGAATTTGCGAGCAGAAAAGGGTGGGCCCGTGGTTGAGAAAGGATAGTGGTAGGAACCTGCTTTATTGCAGGTGACTGGGGTATTCCAGGGAAGAGCTTTCATCAGGGAGCAAAGTCCAAAAAAAAGCCCCCTCCCAAATTTCAAACAAATGAACAAACAAACAAAAAGTGCCAAGGTGATATGAAAGTGGAAATATTCCTAGGGGATGAGGAACCAGTTCAACCGTGGAAACCACCGAAAGCTGTTCAATTGCAAAGTCATTATTTATTGACAGTGAAAGCTCATCCAGTGGCCTGAATATAAACAATCTGTTACCCCACATACGGCAGCAGTACCAAAGAGTAAAGTTGTCTGGTTTTGTTGCTGTTTGTAACTAGTCTGAGTATCACCTTTGTTTGTGAGGAAACAGAAAGATGCATTACCAGCCATAAAGCTTTACCTCTTTCCTGACTTCTAATTGCAGTTATACCACTGCAGAAAGCATGGTCATCAGGAGTTAACTGGTGTTCCTGGGGATGAGATGCTATTGACTGCCCCTTAAACCTTTGATAGTCTCCAGGTTGCAATTTTCTTGTAGTGTCTGCACTAGTTATTTACATAATTATTTAAGAGTATTAATCAAGAATTTACTACTGCTTGGGCTGTTTACTTGGTTAGGAGGTAGGTTATTAGACTTAGATCAAACTAGTGATAGGATTTTGCAGGCTGGTGTTTTGCCAGGAAAAAAGTGCTATCAGAATATTTGCATGTTTTGTTTTGTTTTTTCTTCAGCATCATATCAGCACTGCATTTGCAAAGCTTTATTGGAAAATTATAAATATGCATATTGTTTATTGAAAGAGTATAAATACTTTCTGCTTTCTGTAATGACCTGATTGGGTCCTTAGAGCTGGGTTTCTAGCTCTTGGTGACTTCTCTTTATGCTTGATTTAACTCTTTGCTGATGTCTAGTTGATAAAAAGTCTGAAACAGAAGACTCATTTAAATAACTTTATAAGGACATCATTTTATCTGAGAGGAACTAGGGTAAGAAGATCTGTTTCCTTACAAATTCAGAGACTATAAGAAGATGTGTATAACAAAAATGTCCTTTTTCTCTATGATATTCATTGACCAAAAAAAAAAGACATTCTCTGACATTCACGTTTGCTCAAAAAGAACTTTATCACCTGTTTTTACTGAAAGCCCTCAAAAATGGGGAACAAGATGATTTCCCACTCTTCTAAGCGTGAAAGGCATGGCTTGGCTAGCCCAACAAATTCGCATTCCAGCACTGAATGAGTTTGAATTGTCTTCTGATGAGGAGAAAGCTTTCACGTAGTCAGGCCTCAGCCTTGGAGTCCTTTCTAAAGTACCTGGAAAATGTTAGTATTATGTTAACAATCAGCCTGTATCATGCTGGCTGACCAGTCCTGTGGATCTTATTGCAAAGTGAGATTTCTTTCTTGCTTTTTAGAATCTCGACAGATGGAGTAGATATTGTTTTGGACTGTCTTTGTGGAGAAAATACTGGGAAAGGCCTCAGTCTTCTCAAACCACTTGGGACTTACATTTTATATGGTGAGTGGAAAAAGCCAGGTACACGTTGCAAAACTAAAGCTTTGCAAAGGTTCAAATCTCTTAAAATCACCCATGCCACTCCTTCCAGAACTGGAGGCCACCATGCTATACTTTCTCAATTTGACCATTTCCAATCAAGAATTTTAGTGATGCTGAGCATGGACTAAATTATTGAGAAAGAAGAGGTAATACAAAACCTCTTGGATTTTCAGAAATTTTTTTAAAAGTGAAAGTAAGCATATGTTTCAAATTGTTAAACATCATTGGGTGATACAGGAGAAGTGTAGGAGAAAGCCTGGATCTCTCATTCTACACAACATAGGAATCACAGTGTGGCCAAGGAAACTGTAATGTAGTTCTTGTGGGAGGGAAGTTTGGAGGAAGATTTCAGGAAGAATGCTATTGGTTTTATTTGACATGACTTTGAGGAATTCAAGCCCAGGCTTCTGTTCACAAATTTCCATTCGTGTAAGTGGCCTGCTCCACATTCTGACTAAACATGTCTTCCCTGCAGTTCTGTCAGGTTGCTATGTTGTGTGTTGACAAAGCAGGCCAAGCTTCTGTAGGAGGACAGCTGAAGGGATTGCTAAACTTTTGAAATTAAGAATATATCTGTATCACAGTGGAAGGTGCAGTGGCATCGTGGATAAGCATACCTGCTTCCTTGGGCTTTCGTCTAGCTAGCAGGGTGGCAATAACAAACGCGTTGTCACTCAGGTATCTGCTTGGAGTGTACAAGCCAACCTGGTTGCTTGTTTGCAAGGAAGTCCCTGCCAGTGAGTTGTCATTACCTCTATTAACAGGTTGTAGTGTACAACGCCTGTATGTTGACACATGTAGTGGGCAGGTAAATGTATCTTTCCAGATACAGAGAAAGGACACCTGTGTGGTGATCGCTGTTAAATAATAGTGCATCAGAGACAAATGGCATTTTACTGCAGAGGAGGAGAGAGCTATAGAAGGGTTTTGGTGTCAAGATGCCTAGTAGCACTTAACCTGTTCCTGGGTTTGGAAGAGTTGATAGGTTGTTTTTGTCGTCTCGGAATACCTATAGATGTGTACAGCTCAGTCACTTTGGCCTCTTTGTTATTTATTCCCAAAGTATGAGGATGTCTACTAATCCCTTTTAAACCTGGGGTGTTTTTTTTTCCTTAAATATGAATCATGGAAATGATTTTACATGTAACAAATGGTCTGCCTGTCCGCATGTAATAAGCTGTGTGTGAATGTACTTATCTTTTACAGGTTCATCTAACATGGTTACTGGGGAAACAAAAAGCTTCTTCAGCTTTGCAAAATCAGTAAGTGTCCCAGTGTTGTGATTCTGCTCTTTCCTCTAACTTCAGTCTTTTCTGTAGCAATTTCATCTTTATCGTTCTCATTTATCTCTAAGTTGTTACTTCTGATGTCACTAAAGAGAGCATTTCTCTGACTGCAATGTGATCTGACATATTTTCTTCTCATACGACAGTTAGACATGAATTGGATCTGTGGGCAATGCATGTTTAAATTGTTGTATCAGACATATATCTCTTATACAGCTAAGTTAGACTGCATTATTTATTTACTTACGGCAGAATATCATATCCATGGATATGGATAACTGTACCCTGTAGGTTCCTCATATCTGAAAACCGTGTCAGGACAGTGCAGTGAATTAAAGGAGATATTAAAGGAGATACATCTCTTAAGATGGGGCTTGTGTGCAGTCATTTCCAGCTTTTCAGAAGTTAGTTCCATACAGAAATGCATTTTTCAGTTCTCCATGTTCATTTCAAGTGACATTGAAGAGATGATGATGTTGCATTTGTTTTCTAATTGCTGATGTCAAAAAATCCAAAATTCAGATGTTAAATTTTTTTCTTCAGTTTGCTACAACAACAGAAGTTTGCTCAGAAATCCTAGAGCTTGAAAAAGGGACAAATATGTCAAATAAACTGCTAGTGAGAAATAAGTTAACCAGGACTGAAAGTGATTCCTTCAGACAAGAAAAACAAAGGGATAAGTCTTGACCGAAGATCTATCATATGATCTTTCTGCCAAGAGCTCATTTACAGCTTCCAGCAACAACCCTTTCCCAGGAGAAACCAGCTTCAAAAGTCTCTATGTAGTTGAAAACAAGATAAATCAAAGACTGTAGCAAGAAGCTATTCTTTGCCTCCTTCATTTTCTGAATGGTTGTAGTGGCATGATCTTTGTTGTTGTCATGCGTTTGTGAACTAAAACAAGATAATCTTTACTTTGCAGCCTTTTTACTGTTAATATAAACATATCCAGTTGCCTATAATTTGTAGGGTATGTTGGCCCAACAAAATCCATTTCAACTGAAATGCTTTTCAAATAGTACTGGTATTTATTGCCTGAATAAATATGAATAAATTGAATTAATAAAAAAATAGCATATCAAATTTTGCGTAAAAGTATAACTAGTTTCTTTATGTAATTATACTGCAAAACTAACTCATCAAAAATGTCTGAAATGTTAATTAAAAGTTGACCCATTCAAATAAAACTTGCTGGAAATTGGTATCTCAGTCTCAAGGATGCTCTTGGGCTAAATGAGATAAAAGAATTTCATTAGCTATTATGAGGCTTGCTCAAATACTGCAAACATAATAATGGGTGAAAAGGAAATGGCCGCTGATAAGCAGTGCATGGTTTCCTTGTTTTTGAGAGAAGAGTAATAGACAAGAATTGCTTGCAAACGTTTGGGAAGCTTGCACAGCTCTCTTGAGATAAGAAAGAATGACAGCAGAAGTAAGAAGGGCGGTCCAAATTCCTTACTTCTAGACCCACGTCCTAAAACCAGATCTGTTCACCATTCTTCTAACACCCTAGTCTCCTGCAACACAAGTCTGTGTTTTATTTCCACATGTCAGTCAGCTGCATACTTTTTTGCCTCTTCCTTAAATAAAATCCTTACTGCTTCTCTTGGCTGTTACTTTCAGATCTGAAAGTGAGTGTTGCATCACATGTGCCCAGACAGCTTTCTTGTGAACTTGCCTGTAGGTTTCTTGGAAAATATTTTTCTAACCCTGCTGCTGTTTATTGCTTTCCAGTGGTGGCAGGTTGAGAAAGTAAATCCTATCAAGCTGTATGAGGAGAACAAAGTCATTGCTGGATTTTCCCTGTTGAATCTACTTTTCAAACAGAATCGAGGTGGCCTGATCAAGAGTGTGATGGACAAACTCCTAAATCTATATAACAATAAGAAGATCAAACCTGTGGTTGATTCATTATGGGCTTTGGAAGAGGTAGGAGCAAAATTTCTTTCCTCATTTTGAAATTTCTGAAATATATGCCCTTTTAGATGTAAAATCACATTTAAATATGTTTTCTAGTTACTAAATGTATTCTGCTTTTTAGTTTGTGCATAAGTTGTCTCCAAAGCCCCTGCTATTCAGAAATTCCATGATCCAGAGTTATCCACACATTTCTCTAATAAATATTTCTGGAGTGCTCTGTGCAAAGTTCTTGAAAATACTGCTAGTAAATGTGGTTTTTCAATCTTAGGAAATTGTTTCTATTTCCTAAGTGCATGAAGCACGTGACTAAGAAGTGCGGCATGAAATGCAGACATTATAATTGAAAGCAACTTAAAATCTGTTCTGAGGAAAAGATCTAATATATAAGCTTTAGTTTCAGTGTTGTATTTGTGCTAGCAAACCTTGGCAGCTGGGAGGTTTTCAGGAGGTTACTGAAAATGTATCACAGGCAGTCAAATCAGAAATCACTTTTAATGTATGTTACATTTGTAGAGTGTGGGTTTTTTGATTCTTTTTTGCCTTCTAATTGCTCAGCTCTCCTTAAAGACATGTAAAGAACTAATCTGATCATAGCCTGGGCAATTACAAGCCCCTTGACCAAAGCACTGTTTCTGAGACCTTTATACTTAAGATGCTGATAAATGAACGTAAGTATTTTTGGAGATGTGAACAGACATTAACATATAAAGAAACAGCATGGTTATAGTAGCACCACCAGATTAATATTTGTGTTTTCTGTGTTTGTGAAGTGCACTGAGCCTGACATATGACTTCAGATGCATGATCTGCAAGAGCTCTGCTGAATGTGGATTGTGGCTGTATCATTGTATGGTTGCTCTTCAGAAGGTGCTGCAACAAAATTCTGTCTGTGTCTGAACACATGCATCCTTGAGGAAATAGTAACCATCAGACTTAATACATTAATAACACTGTATTTTATTAAGATTTTGAATGCCCTATGGGCAGGGTTTTGAGCCCAGCACATTGTTCAGGTGGCATTACAGCACCACCACTGTCATGGACACAGGTAAGGGATCCTGAGTTGCGTGGCAGGACTCCGCAGCCTGTGACAGTTCTTGGAGCAGGATGCACTGCATGTTCACTGCGGCTTGTACATGCCTGGGCCAGGTTGCATGACAAGGCGTGTGCTGCCTTAGGTTGTGCTGATGTGGGAACTATATGTCTTTTTGTGCCATCCCTACATCTGCCCCAGTGTACCCCAGCATTCCGTTTTATGTGGTAGAGCAGATGCAAATGGTCCAGCACCGTATGGGGCTCCATTTGCTCCTCTCTAGCAAAACAGAGAGGAATGACAACTTCCCCAGGAATCTCTTCCTGTTTCTCTAAAATGTCTGCCTGAGGCCACGCTGTCACTGAGAGCAGCTCAGTAACACCTGGGGGTTTACCAGCCAGTGGCACGGGAGTGGCCGATTCTCACCATCGAGCTGCTTAAGGGAAATCAGATGTGATAAGGAGCAGCTGGCTCCGTCTGAAAGACAGAGCCCTTTGACGAGTGGTGTAAAATAGAAACTTGCATTTTTAAAATTTAATAAATAAATAAGCTTATGAAGTATTTTAAAAATCTGTGGCACGAGTTTCTAGATAGGCATTCTGCAATTTCTTTGTTCGTGTAAATATGTATTTTTCATGTATTAGTGAGTAAGAAGAGGATAATTAAAATAGTAACAATAGCTTAAAATATGTTGATCGAGGGCATAACATCAAAAATTACACATGGCTGGCTGATCTTAATAGTCAACGTGATGGGAATTTTGTTGGGAGGCTTCTGTTTGATAACATTTCATCTAACATTTGGCAGTAGCATGCACCATCCCTACCGGTAGATTGTGTAAATACATCTGTTAAAAAGCGCAGCCTAGAAAACTACAGCTCATTTATCATGCCTGCTCACTTTCCGTGAGCTATCTGGTAGTTTACAAAGGAAATGTCTGGCTAGTATCTTCAGGGATGTAACAGTGCTAGAGGTGTGCTTAATCAGTTGCAAAGTATTACTGTAATATTACTCATTTAGGGCATTATCATTTTGGGGAGATATTTTTGTGGGTATAAAAATAACTTGGGGCTGGATCTTAATATGATACACAGAAAAATGTGTTGTAGCTGAGGACTAAATGGAACCAGACTGAAGAAAGGTTGGTATGTATTTTTGTTCTGTTTTGGGAGGTTTCTGTTTTTTTAATTCCATAGCTCTAACATCTCCCCCCTTCAGAGTTTGACATTTTTTTACTTTTCAATTCCTATTGAGTAAGTCTGGCTTTCTCCAAATGTCCACTTTCATTTGACCATTCTCAGTAATCTTCACTGGACACTAAACCAGTATGACCAATTTTTACCATTGATGTTTCCTGAGGAAATTTGCTGACCCATAAGAACATTGAGAAGAAATATGTTTAACTAGAGAGTGGCAGAAAGGTGGACTCCCTGCATGGCATTTGAAATGAGTGATTGAATAGTTTTCCATGGAAGAATATCACACTCTCCAGAGGGTCATAGGAGAATCCATTTGTCCTCTGACTAGTAATTCTGCCAGAGAGATGAGCTTGAATCCAGTAAGTGACATGCAAAATGACAATATTTAAGAAAAAAATCTTGGAGGAGCCTTAACCATGGGATGCCTTTCCAAATGTTTAATGTTAAATACCTGAATGTATCATCACATACATAAAAGTTTTGCTCTATGTATGAAAGGCATATCCCCAGCACAGCCCTTCAGCTTGCTTTATTTACTCTGCATCTGCATTTGTTTTCATGTATTCCTTCTTTGTGCAAATATCAATTCACAAATTATTGCAGATTCTCTAAAGCCAACATGGAAGACACCTGGTTTTCTTCCAAAAGTGTATTACAGTATGAATACATATCTTTTCAGTCCTGTATCAGTTGCCATAGCCGTCTGTGTTCAGAGCTGAAAAGCATCTTTGCAGTCGTAGAAGACAAGGAGCTACATCTACAGTGGTGTTCCCCTTTGCTGCTTAAGACTGGTTGCTACAGGACCACTTCCTTGCATGACAACCCTGAAACTGAGGGCTTTACATTCTAGTGCTTGTGAGAACAGCCAGAGAAAGGTTTTGTCTGGTTTAATAGTTCTTCATGAACTGTGTAAAAAAGATTTCATTGTTCTAAAAGCCTGGTATGGTTCCTTGAACAGCATTTATCTCTTAATACTTTCTGCAGGAGTATAGTTTGAATTTAAAAGAAGATACTGATTAGAGAATATTGTAATTGCAGTGAGATTTTTGCATTTTAAAGTGTTTCAAGTGGCAGTAATACAAGGTTTAGAGAAAGTGGTTAGATTCCCATTTGTCTATCATGTGGTGTATGTTAAGTGATGTGTAGCTGATTGTTGAATAATATTCAAGATAGCAGGGTTCAGAAATTATTAGGCAGACTTAGCTTGATACTATTTCTGTTGAACAACGAAAGTTTGTCTGAGTGTCAATGAGATCATTCTAATTAGGATATAATCCCTTCTGGTGTTCTGATTTCTCTGTTTCAGGGCCTCATCCAAAGGCTGTGAAAGTCAGTGGAAGGACTCCTAGCTTTACTGGCCTTTGTTTTAGGATGAGAATTGCCCTGCCTCTTCTGTACAGGCTGCTTAAACAAATTTACCAATTGACTGAAGCGAGAGAGGGACAGAATTTATTCTGGATGGAAACTTAGAAGTGACTTCATTTTCTTCAGTGCATCAGATTATTGCTGACTCAAGGGAGATCAGGATCTAGACTATTGACGACTGCTATGGAGCAAAACTACTTGTATTGCTGTGTTATCTGTTGGCGTTGGCTTGGGAAGAGTAATTTCTATCTCAAATTTACATCCATAAATTCTAGTAAAGTCAAGCTGTTTCTCAAGTAGGCCATTAGAGCCATTTTATGATGTTAATGTAAGAAAGATTTAACTAAGAGAGGCAGTAACAAAATCCATAGATACTTTAAAATGGAAATCTAACTGGGGAATTACTCATCATGAGATGAGTGAAGTCATACAATAAATTAGCTGCTGCTGAGATGTCTCGCTATTTTGCAGCTATTTGTTTATGGGTTCAAATGTTTAAAAGACAAGATAATTTGTAGATGGTGCATGCTTAAAATACTGTTCTGTAGTAAAAAGCTGATTGTCTGGTAAGATTGCATTTCTTTACAAATAGTAGAGTTTAAAACAGAATTAGTATTTGGTGAATATTTGTTGAGCTTTGTGGTTGTTTCTTTCTTAGTACTACTTAACTAATCCGTAATTTGCAGTTAGTCACTCTTCCTTGTTCTGATTAATTTGTAGTGTGCATTAACGCATTAGCATTCTCCTGAGGGTCTGTGAATCTTTGGCTTTACACAGTAGCCAATTGTAGATTATTAAGCAGGATGAAAACTGAAGGTTCTCAAAAAATCTAGTGTGTTGAATGAAAATGTGCACATTGCAGTTTTCTATAAAAAGCTGAAGAAAACAGAATTTTAATGATTGCAAAAGAAAATATATACTCAAGGTAGAACGGGTTATTGACATAGAAGTTATGTGCACCTTCTTTGGTGATTTACAGCAGTGAAAAGTAGCACTGATAGCATGTGAAACAAAACTCACAAATTCTTGCACATGAACTGCCAGTCAGGAAAGTGAGAGTGCAAAATATGGTCCATGTCATCAAAATATCTGTAGGCCCCTTTCCCTCACGCTAGACCACCCACTTCCAAAAGGACTCTCAATATGTCAGAAAGTTTTCAGACTTGAGCTATCTTGATCCATATGGGTGACTAGTGAGATGATGGAAAAACATCCTGACTACAGATCTGTGTTGTGTACCAAAGGATTCGTTGCATTCTTGTCTCTCAAATGATTTAAAGCAGTGCACTTGATACCAAAGGGTTAAAGAATTCAGCTAAATTAACAGAAGAGCAGGCACATTCTTTAGCCTGGCATCTCAAGGTTAGGAAGTATCAAGAAAAAGAACAAATGATAGAAGAAGGGGGGACACT